TGTTACTGTTTTTGGCATATCAAATACCCCACAGGGAGCTTGCCAGGCTCTGCCGTGCAGACGGGATACTCCCAGTAGCTTGCCGGGCTCTCTGAGAGGGACAGAGGAATCGAACCCGGGTTGGCCTCGTGCAAGGCAAATGCTCTACCCACTATGCTCTGTAATCCACAATTATTCAATAATTTTATTTCTTTAAGTTGGGAACTCTGGGCAAGCTACTATGCTATCTGCATAAAAAATTCTCAACCACAAATGTTCTCAGCCACAGCATTGGAGACATTTTTAATCAGATTATTCTTTTTTTGTTTTTCTTTTTGTTTTAGGGTCACACCTGGCAGAACTCAGGATTATTCCTGGCTCTCATTCAAAGATCACTCCTGGTAGGGCTTGTGGGACTGTATGGGATGCTTGGAATCCACACTAGTCAGCTACATCCAGCCCCTATCAGATAATTCTTTATTGCATGCTTTTTTTTTTGTGAGTTATTCAGCGCCATCTTTGGTCTCTACCATTGGATCTGCACCTAATTCTACCCCTGTTAACTACAAGCAAAAAGTCTCCAAACATTGCCATAGTCCTTTAGAGGTAAATGTGCCCCCAGTTAAGAACCACTGCACTAGAGCGTCCTTAGATTTCTTTATTTCTAAAAACTTTCGCTAATTATTTCAGAAACTTCATCTGAAAACTTAGGTGTGGATTATATAACTCACAGATAAACACATATGGCATGCCAAGAACTCAACAATATTTTCCTGATTTGGTGAGAGAAGAATAACAAGAAAATAAATCAAAATAAATCCAGGAGTACTCAGAAAAAAAAGTAAGACATGATGGTTATTAAACTAATAATAATAATGACACTAGCTTCTGGTAGTTTCTCCATCCATTAAAACAGTTCAAATGCTGCAGAGTGTTAGTTCAATTACTTTCTAGCTTGCAATGATGCTAAAGCACTAACAAAGTACTTAAAGCATTAACAAAGTCAACATAGATTATTTTGCATGCAACAACTTATTTTTCAATTTTTTAGAAGTCTAATGCCTTTATGAAAAATAAAAGGATATCTCAATTCCCTCTAAGAGAGATTCCTTCTAATGACGTAAAAGGAGAAAAAAAATCCACATCTTTGCCATTTTTCTTTTTCTAAATATAGCATCTTCTTTTATTTATCTATTTTGTCAACCAGAACTTTCTAATATCTGGTGCTATCTTACTTTTGAACTAAAATTATTTAAGCTTATGTTAATGATTTGCTACTGTAAGATCTCGACACCATTTGAATTAAAAGGAGACCAAAAAATATCCAACATGATTTCAGATTCATGACTTTGAAAATCAGTAGTTTTCTTATGTAGAGAAGAACATGTCATTACTATCAACAGACTAAAAAAACTAAATCTTCAATTAGAATGACCATTATTATTATTATTATTATTATTCACAATCATGCCAGAAAATAAGATTTTACTTCCAAATTATTAGTTTACTTTTAGAGCAATTTAAAAACAAAAAGTATAAAAGAGGAAAGTATGACACAATAAATTAACATACTATGTTCTCTTCCACAGGTAAACTTTAAATCATTATCTAAAATTATCTCATCTTCATTTTAACATCTGGAACTTTTCATGTGCTCAAAAAGGTCAAAATTGAGTCACTTAACTCAATCGCTGCACAATTCTTCTTTTATATATCTCCTTTGGAGCTGCAAATACTTAAAAGAAGTAAAGAAGCTAGCTGATACATGCTTACTAAATACTTGAGCTGGGTTCAACTAGCATCATATTATAATAAACTGAGTTTTGATTGTGAACCAGGGGATGTTGTACTCCTCTGCAGAGGACTAAAATGAGGAATTCAAAGGCATTACGGCAGCTCTTCCCTGCAGGTTTCTATTGGAGGGACACTCAGTGAGGAGTTAGTGCCTGAAATTCTAATCTGGGCTCTTTTTTATACCATAGTAGATGTGGCAGTAGTAGATATCATTAGCAGATAGAGTATGGCAAATTCAAATCAAAATATCATATACCCTTGATCTTCTGAAGAGTGAACTCTTAGGTGCTTTCCAGACTTAAAATTTTGTCAAACCTTTGTGGCTCAAAGCTACAAGGACTGCTTAGGGTGGCCATGAGCCCACTAACGATGTCTTCAAAATTATTAAATTATGAAGTGCTTAAATGATGTGGCCAGGATTATGTCACCCAATCTCTTGGCAGACCTCTATTTCCTATTCCTTATTCCCCACCTTCCTGCTTTTAAAAATTAGGATAAAGCACACAATATGATTTCCCAATCATTTGTCATTGAATTCAGGATTGAAGCCAGCTTGCTAATCCTGGGAGAATTACATTCAACTCCTAATGAAAGGCACGCATGAGCACAAATTAGCATATCACCTAGATGTTCCATCTATTTCAAGAACCCAAAACAACAATAATAATAATAAAAAGATTAGTTCGTTTACCATGATAGCTCTCTTTATGGGTAAATAATAGAGCCATAAATCATGGTGAAAAACTCCAAAAGAAGGTATGAGGTGGGGATTGGGGGGGGGGGTACTTATGCAAATCATAAAGGGATCTATAAAACTGCAATCTGAGAATTTCATTATTAAGCTAAGCCTCTTTGTACAGAAATCCCAACTCTCCAACTGGGCAGCTAATTGAGAGTTAGGAAGAGCCAAAAGACTCCCCTCTTTTTCTCATTCATCACAGGCAATATAGAAACCCTTGCTCAATATGATAATGTGACTTTTGTCAATGCATTTTTCACATGAGATAGAGGATTGGCTGTTGATGATGTCATACTCCTGGGTTAATCCCCAGTGAATGCAGGTTTAATATCAGATGCACCCACACATTATTTACATAACAAAGTATTATATTAAGTGTAACAATAAGTAAGTAGTGCAGATAAAAGCACCTGTTAGAGAAAGGCTATGTGCCACTGAAAAGGAGATGGGGGACAAAGCAAAGAATTATTCTTTTCTTTTTTTTTTTACTAAATGGAACTAGGTCATCAAACAATACACATCTCTAAAAAAAGCAAACAATGAATATTGATATCCAAGTGACCTAGAACATTCTAGCCCTAAAACTATAAAATAGTGGCCTCCAGTTAAAAGTAAATAAATTTTTAAGTAGGCAAGTTGAAATGTTTATAGGTTGGGAATGGGGAAAAATAAAAAAGAATTCATTCAAAAAATAAGTGAATCAGCAGCCACTGCCTTCCTGAGGAGGATAACTTTCTGATCTTTAATAGAGGAAACTGGCTGAGTCAAATCATAGCTTAAAGCCTAATACATTTCAGTGTCAAAGGGTAGTTAAGAAGGTACAAGGGATGGAGAGAGTCATGCAACACAGAACAATGAGACAGAAGAAAACCTTGAAATACAGCTTTTGGCTATGAGAATATTGATCAAGGAATACCCACACACACGAAGAAAGCTTTTTGCACAAATGAGCAATGCCAACAAATCACACGGTCCGTTTGGGAGGACATAAGTCATCGTTAGTCATAATGATTCTGCAAACTGCTCTCACGCTGCCTTATTAAGGTCTGTATTTTCAATCCAAAGGAAGTGTTGGGCTTGCACACTGATTTATGACTACAAACTTAGCAGAAATGCTTCTCGCTGTAAAACCACAGTGAGCTGTTGAAGAATTCTTCAAGTCACATTTTCAAATAGCCAGGTAGAAAAATGCTGATAGTACTGTGGGAAAAGATGCCCCCAAATTATTTTAGCCCCACCCCCCTTTAATTCAGGCCCTGCCTGAACTGGGTTCAGACGGTTCTACCTTGTTTCTACCCTCTAGCCCCTTTCAGCGGATGTGAAGTGGCCAGCACCATGAAAAAGCTAAGTGTGCGTGTCTGGGTATGCTCCTAGGGGCTTCGGGTTGCTGCGGACAAAACCGTTCACAAGGATTTTCGAAACAGACCCGGACCGTGGCTTTGAACAAGCCCAGGGGATCGCCTGTCACATCACATCAGCTTCGCTCGCCTTGGAGACATAGGCATTGAAAAGTTAAAGGGGAAAGAAAAGAGTTCACAAATAAACACTCTTCACCGAGGTGCAGGGGGCGGGGGGCATCTAAGTCCTGGTGGAGGGTGGGCATACTGCTAGGTCTCAGCTAGTGTGTGTGTGTGTGTGTGTGTGTGTGTGTGTGTGTGTGTGTTCTTTTTGTGTGAATGCCTTGCAGAGAGATGATTCATCGCTTGCTTGGGCTCACTGGGGTCCACGGACTCCCCGGCCCCCGCTCCCGCAACATTGTATGTATTGTAAGAAACACGCACGGGTGGCACCGTGGGGCACAGCGTCCGGTTGGGATAGTGTCCCTAGGTACCGAATATGAATACGAGGCTTTGAACGGGAAAAGAAAAGTGGATCCGACCTGCCGAACGCGAAGACAAGTCCCAGCCCCGCTCGCGTCCTCTCCTGGGGCGCGAAGCTTTCCCTCCCGCGGGAGGCGCGACGGGCACCCCGGCTGCGGCCCGGAGGGTCACCTGCTCCCACCCCCACCCCTCGGATCTCGGCCCAGCGCTGAAGCAGAAACCCTCGCCGGGCTTCTCCAGAACCGAGTGAATTCCGCCTCGCCTCCCCTCCCCGGACCCGTGGCTCAAGGGGCCCTCCCCGCTGCGAAGTCCCCTCGCGGCCACCGAATGTCAGGCAGGACCCCCGAAGTTGGAAGCGGCCGTTGCCTCTCCCACGTCTTCGATCTGGAGGGCCACGACCAACTTTTCCGGCACAGGTCGACCCCCAACCCGAAGAGCCAGGACGGGGCGGGTCCGGGAAGGGGGGTCGGGGGGAGGTCGGGTCGCCCCGAGCTGGTCAAGGAGAAACCAGTCGGAACGGTGCCGGCCCGCCGGACGGCGTCCGAGCGCTAGTCCAAAGGCGCCCAACCCCATCTTCCACCCCTCGACTCCGCTCCCGCCCGCGGCCCAGCCGGACCGAGCGCCCCGAAGAGGGCGCGATCTCCGCCCGGGAGCCCGAGGATGCTCACCGTGCCTCCTCCCTGCGGGCGCCCGCAAAGCAGCCCAGCGCCTCCGCCGGCCCCTCGAGAAAGTTCTCGCGTCTCTCCGAAGGCAAGCCGGGAGCTGGCGCGGCGGGAGCTGCCGCGACCCCTCGAGAGCGCAGAAGCCGCGCGCCCCCGTGCGCCCCGTCCAGGGCTGCGAGCGCCGAGCAGTGCGGAGCCCGCGGGCCGCAGCCCCGGCCGGGAGGGGCCGGACCGCCGCGGGCCGCGCTGATTGGCCGCGCCGGCCGGAGCTCCGGCCGGCCGGGTGGTCCACGTGGGCCGGCCCTCTCCCCGCCCCGCACCTCTGCTCGGTCCGCGCGCCCCCACCCCTACCGGGCGCTCCTCTCCCCAGCGCCTCGCTGTGGCCGGCACTCGAGCAGGTGCGGGAGAAGGGACTTCGCCACTACCTGTGCGCAGCGATGGGCCCTGCAGACGGGGACCGGCTGCACCCCCAAATCCTTTGGAGACCAAAGCAGGTCCAAACAGGCTTCCTCGGCCACCCAGAGCAGAGCGAACGCATCGCGGATCTGGCTGTTACGTAACTCATGTAACTTGCTTGCGTGAGAGAGGAGCAAAAGCAACACACCTGTCAAGACCTGAATCCTTCTTTTAAAAAAATTTAAACTGTCCCAAGACTTCTTTGGATCCTCCCCATCCTTCCCCCGAGTGACTGATAGTAATTCGTGACCCTTACACTGCATTTATTTTGCAGACCACCCTATGTGGTCTCCGTGTTAGAGAGAAGAACATAGGACACAAAGAATTTGAATAACTTACTAAGGAGCCCACAGTTAGTCAGTGCGATTTAGGAATGCTGGCTCTCAGAATCAGTACCTCCATTTTCACAAGGCCCCCAGGTAACATGAACTTTAAGGTGCTTGTCTTTGCCCTGTTAGGTTGTTCTCTGTCGTTGGTTACGTATAAATCTTTCCCTCTCATTGACAAAAAAATTATGCATCATATGGTCCAGTTGCTCTCCAAAATCTATTTGTACTACTCTGTGCCTCTTAATTATAATTTCATCTAATCTCTGCCAGGCCCCCTGTCTCTGTTCTTGCCTTTGTTCTATTGACATAAGTGCACACACACACACACAAATTGTAACATTATGTGGCCTATCATTTGACATTTCCCAATCCAAAACACTTCCTTTCATATTCAAAATTCGGACTGCCATTAATGACAGCTAATGACCTGTCTGGGGCTAGAGCGATAGCACAGGAGTAGGGCGTTTGCCTTGCACGCAGCCAACATGGCCCACCCGAGTTCGATTCCTCCGTCCCTCTTGGAGACCCCGGCAAGCTACCGAGAGTATCTCGCCCGTACGGCAGAGCCTGGCAAGCTCCCCGTGACCTATTTGATATGCCAGACACAGTAACAACAAAGTCTCCAATGGAGACATTACTGGGCCCTCTCGAGCAAATCGATGATCGATGGGAGGGCCTTTACTTTACTTACTTTAATGACCTGACTAAGAAGAAATTCAAGTTTCAGAAATAGAATTTTGATCCTTAAAGAGTGCCTCAGTACAGGGATTTCATGAAAGACAACATCAAGTCCAAAGGGAGCCTGAGATTGTGTGCCAGGATATGCCACACTCTCTCTTGACACTGTTCACCCTTTTGCTCAGTAAATATGAGAACCTATGCCAGTCAACCACTGTAACATTGTAGGTTTGAACAGAAGTAAATGATACTCCAAAGTGCTTACTTTCATTTAGTTGGGGTCTTGAAAGAGAGATAGGCTTTACTACCATAAATAAGTGAATCACAGAGCATGGTAGAAGGCACATTACACAGAAAAATCAAATGCAGGAAAATGAAATGAGAGCGAGAAGGTTGGGTTTTGGGGGCGGGGGGGAGCAGGGGGGAATGTTTTGGGCCACAACCCAGCAGTGATCAAGATTTACTCCTGGCTCTGCACTTAGGAATCACTGCTGGCAGTACTGTGGGACCTTTGGGGTATCAGGGATCAAATCCAGGTCAGCCACATGCAAGGTCAGTGCCCTATCCACTGTAGTATCTCTCCAGCTCTGCAGTTACTATTTTAAAGGAAGCTTCTAGGCCAGTTCTTACTTAGAAGATAACTTTTGGACAGACTTAGAAGAGCTAAAATAGTAAGTCATCACATTCATTCATTCACTAAATATTTATTGATCAAAATGCGTGCCAAGCATGATTCGGGTATGGGTCTATGTAGTACTCTTTTTCATATTTCCAAGTTTCCCTGGACTAAAGTTTCCTTGTTTTGATGGACAAGAAAGGTAAGCAAATTTTCATGACTTGTGCTAATATCATATTTCTCCATCCTAAGTGTTCAATAAGTTAGAGATTTGGTCGTGTACCTGCCCTCCACTCCAATTCCTATACTGACCTTCTAACCTCCAGTACTTCAGAACGTGATCTTTCATAGAAATGAGGTATTTTCAAGATGGCCAAGTTAGAATGAAATAAAGTAGGCTCTCATTGAACATAACTGTTTCCCCTATAGGAAGTGTGGAGACACAGAAAAGGAAAAGATGGATACAGGGATTGGAGGCAGAGATTGGGCTACAAGGCAAGAAGGGTGAAATTATGGGCAAACCACGAGCAAGGAGAAAGGATGGAGGAGGAGCTGTCTCTCCGCCTTCAGAAGACAACCAACAAACTGATCTCTGATATCCAACCTCCAGAGATGTCAGAAAATCAATTTATTTTGTTAAGCTATCAAGTGTGGGGGCTTTGTTATAAAAGCCCTGCCAAACAAACACAGATATGTTTAGAAAGAAAGGTGATACTTAGGTGACTCATACCAACTTCCAAGTCTTTCGGTAATAACAAGAACTCAATGTGATCTGATGAATTAAGATTTACTAAGCAGGAATCCTTTAGGAGACCACTACCATGCTCTGAATTTCTCTGCCTTTCTTTCCTTTCTTTAAACAGAATTTGTCTGAACTCAGTCATTGAATCTCCAGTTCTTTCCTTTCCATTTCAACTGCTTGAGGACAAGAACCCGAGTGTCCACACCCACAATCACATTTGGTGAGAAGTAGCCTTTAGTTAACTGTCTGCATCATCACCATCTACCAAAGCAGATAGAAGGGTCCAGGTCATGATCTTATGGAAAATAATAAAACTAAAGAGGAAATCACCCTGAAGTAACCCAAAGGCATGACGACCATGCCCCATAGAGGTACAAATCCTCAGCTCTTCAGATATAGAGAAACTCAGATGCAGAAACCAAGATACCAACCAGAAAAGGAGACTCCCCAACCAAGGAGAAGCTCCAGAACAATATAAAAGTCCTGATGAGGATATGAAAGTACCATCATGATCTCAAGGCCTTCTCTGTGACAAAGCCTAGACTAACTCTTGTGTATGAAGAGAACTCAAAACCAGGAAATTTAAAGAAATCATATATCACCTTCTCTCAAAAGCTTTTCTCTGCTTTTTTCCACTCTGGAAGAATCTGTGTTCTCTCTTGAACACATATTCCTCCCTTTATCTCCCTCACATCTAAGTTTTAACCAATAATAACTTTTTTGCTTTATAAAAAAAAGACTAAGCAAGTCACCACCAAAATAAAAAAATGTATTTAAAAATTCCAGAAGAACCTTAATAACTCAATTATTCCTATCAACTATATATCTAAATGCCTATTATGTGCCAAGACCTGGTATACAGTGACAAGCAAGTCTTTGCTCTTATGTGACTTGTGTGCATTGTTATGTGGATAATTGAATAGAAAAACCAACAAATGTATAAACAAGGTAATTTCAGAGGAGAATAAAGTACTTAAAAGAAAAGAAAATACAACTAGAGGATTAAAAAGAAAAAACAGGGAATGTGTTTAGTTTCGATTAACTGCCCTGTGAGGTGGTAATCATGAAGCCAAGATTTCAATGACAAAAAGTCATCCAAGCATAGATCTGGCAAAAACCATCCAGGCAGAGATAACAATTCTTCTTCTAATAAAATATCCTTGCAATTCATTCCTTAATACCCTTTCTTTCTTTCTTTACCATCCATTTGAGGTTCTGCAAAATCAATCAATGTCTGTTTAATTTTTAAAAAAAAGAAGAAAGAAAGAAAGAAAGAAAGAAAGAAAGAAAGAAAGAAAGAAAGAAGAAAAAAGAAAAAGGGGGTCAAATATTTTTCTCTTCTTATTAAGTCGTGCCAACACACATGCACACTCTCACAAAACACCCCTTGCAGTGCCTCTCAATTTGTAGTTAATGACAGCATGTGACTTGGACATTGTGTTTATTTTCTTCATTTGTATAGCATCCAGAACACTACTGGCCATGTCCTGGTGTTTAATCAATACACTGAGGACCAACTGTGCCTACAAAGGACCATTCCCCACTCTTCTACATCTATTTATAAAAGCCTCTTATTATCAAGTCAAGCTTCCATCTTCAGCTTTTGCAAAACTCATGTACTTATTTTAATACTTATTTATAGTTTAACATTTAGCATGTAATATTTACTTGGGAGACTACTAACAATACTAACATCATTGGAACTTGCGCATTGTTCACTATGCTAAATGTTTCACATAGACCAGTATCCTTATAACCCTACAAAATATATTTTCTTACCTATATGTTCAGTTTGACAAATGAAAACAACTGACACTCAGAGGAGGTTAAGCAATCTGCCCACTGTCGAACCCCTCTTAGAGGGCAGTCTGGGGCCTTAAGCCTGTCTCCCTGTTCTGTGAGGCTGAGCTGGGGTGGACAAACAGAAAGAAAGGAATGAAGGAAGAACTGAAAGAAAGCAAAAAAACAGTTGTCTATTCCTTTGCCTTGGACTTTGAAATTTTCAAAGCACTGGGTTATAACTTTCTTTTTTATTTATCCCAGTCCTGTAGCTTTCAAGTTCACTTTTCTAGTCAGATATTTGCTTTGCCTTCCCTTACTTCAAACTGGAAACTGTAAGAACTTTGATAAATGAAACAACCGCAATTTTTTTTGGTTTTGTTTTCAGACTGTTTCTTAGCATCCTCTGAGGAAATGAGACACAAGGTTCTTAGGACTCAG